TGAGTGGAGAGAGAAGTAGGTACTGATGTGTTTAGTGTAGGTATATCGTGAGGATTGGTTTGTGCTGGAACTAGAGTATCAACATGTGCAGGATTAGACAATTCAGGTTGCACAAGATCATTATTGTCAATACTCGTGTCATTGTGTGCAGGGTCAGCTGATGTATTAAACACATTATCAGAAATGTCAGCAATATCAAATACATTAGGATGAGTAGAGCTAGTAACTGGTGATGATGATTGTAAGGACTGTGTACTGAAATACTCCCATGAATTACTAAGAGATTCAGAAGAAGTATTGTAAGGCAGAATATGCTCATGATGTGTAATGTTCCTAGATATGAAAATGTCACTATTATTGAGATCTAGAAGTAAACAGCCTTTATATCCAACAGGGTAGCCTAAAAAGACTGCCTTTCTAGCTCTGGTTTCTAATTTGGTTCTATGAGAAGTAAGAGTAGAAGCATAGCAAAGAGAACCAAACACTTTAATATGACTAATGTCAGGTACATTGTCATGCAATAGCTGATATGGTGATTTTTGTTGAAGTAAATTGGATGTGACTCTGTTAATGATAAAAGCAGCATAAGGGACTGCATATGACCAGAAGGATTTTGGTAAGTTTGATTGATATAATAGGGCTCTACCTACATTCAAGAGATGCTGATGTTTTCTTTCTACCCTACCATTTTGTTGAGGTGTCTCTACACATGACTTATGGTGAATAATGCCCTTGGATGCATAAAATTGAGGGAGAGAGAATTCAGGTCCATTATCAGACCTGATGTACTTGGGACAGGTATGAAACTGATTCTCAATAAGAATAATAAAATTTTTAACATGGTCAGACACCTCTGCCTTGGATTTTAACAAGATTACCCAAACAAATCTACTAAAATCATCAAGAACAGTAAGAAAATACTTGTGACCTTTAATAGAAGTAATGGAAATAGGACCCCAAATGTCAAAATGAATGAGTTCAAATTTAGCATTTGCTCTAGAAGTGCTGATAGGAAATGAAATTTTCTTATGTCTAGCAAAATGGCAAATATCACAGACAGCCTTATTATCATTAACAAGTTGTGGATACAATTGATGCATTTTAGAAATTCTGTCATGAGATAAGTGACCTAATCTAAAATGCCACAAGGCTTGTGGTGGAATCACTTTACATGTGTTGGCAGAAGTTTTAGGCATAATGAGGTCATTGGAACAATCTGAGTTGGAAGTGTGTTTTCTTTTATCAGCAGACCAACCATCATCTAGCACTAGTTTGTACAATCCTTCTACTTGACTAGCCAAACCAATCATCCTCTGTGATTTCACATCCTGTATATAACATTGATCAGCATGAAAAGAAAGTTTGCAGTTAAGATATTGACACATTTTTGAAACTGACATGAGATTAAGAGAGAAGTCAGGAGTGTACAAAACATTTTGCAAAAAAAACTGTGGTGAAAAATTAACAGTGCCAGCTTGTTTAGCAATGACAATAGCACCATTAGGTAGACACACATTAACAGGTTTAATTTTATGTAAAGAACTAAACCAATGAAGAGAGGAGCATACATGATCATTGGCACCTGAGTCAATGATCCAAAAGTCAGGTTTTCTACTAGTGGAACAAGATGCTATGAGCACTTGAGAATTACCTGTAGACTCATGTGTAGAAATGTGATTGGTGGTTGAATTAACATTGGTAGCAGAATTTGGCAACTGAGACAGTAAATTTGTTTGCTGCAACAAGTTAATCAACTGAGAGTATTGCTCTTGAGATATGCTAGCACATTGACTCCTAGAGGAATCTTCTTCACCAGTGGAAGCAGTTTGTTGGTTGTCACCAGTAGAGGAATTTGTGGCATTAGCAACAGTTTGCTTTTTACCATAGTTTGGAGGAAAACCATGCTTCCTATAGCAAACTTCAACTGTGTGACCTGCTCTATTGCAATAAGTACACAGCCTATTGTCTCTGCGCGAGTTTTGGGAACTATTGTTACTATGACCAGAGTAATTGGCTTGCTTGCCACGATCACCTTGTCTTCTTGAGTCATAAGCATTTACCAAAGAATTAACTTCTTCCATAGGAGCAAAGGATTCAGGTTTCGAAAGTAAAGAGACGTTATGGCTCTCTTCTTGAATCACCATAGAATAGATTTTGTTGATGGATGGTAAAGGATCCATCAAAAGAACTTGAGTTTTGATGACAGAAAATTTGTCATTCAAACCAGTTAGAAATTGTATTACCTGATCTTCAATGCGAAATTCTCGAGCAGCTCTCAAGGCTTGGCAGCGACATTGTTGAGCACAAGTGCACGATGGTAGAGGACGATAAGAGTTTAATTCCTCCCATAAGCCACGCAGTTCAGTGAAGTAATCAAGAACTGATTTCGACCCTTGCTTGAGATTGTTAATCTCCATGCGCAGAGTTGAGACACGGATTCGATCAATCTTCGAAAACCGTTCCTGGAGGTCATTCCAGACTTCAAGAGCATTCTCCAAGAAAACGATAGTTTGAGCAATGGGTGATGTAACAGAGTTGAGAATCCATGAATGGACTAAGCAATTGCATCGTTCCCATGCACAGCGGTTGAGATCATCAATGTCAGGAATAGGAATAGTGCCATCAATGAAAGCAAGCTTGTTCTTAGCACCAAGCGCTCGTTTCATTGATCTAGACCAAGAAATATAATTGACACCAGTCAATTGAGGTGTGATGATCACAGAATTAGGGCCTTCACTAGGATGCACATAGTAGACTGAATCTATGTCACCATTGGTGACACGTTGAGTTGAGGAGGTGGGATTGGAACCGCGCGCCATAGATGAAAAAGAAGCACTGTATTAAGAAGAAGAAGGACTGGTTTATGGGAAAAGAAGAAGGATCACAGGTGTGGATCTTGAAGCGAATGATACCATATTATGATTGAGAACTCATGCTCAAATCAATAGAGAAAAAAGAAAGATTAAAGAAGAGAAAGGAAAGAAGCATTTTATTTCATATGTTCAAGCTTATGCATTACACAGCTATATATGCTAGCATTCTATTGCAAGCTATATATGTAACTAACTTCTAATAACCACTAACATCCTAACTGTAGAATAACTAACTGCATAACTAACAGCTAGTATAACTGCTGCTAACTACCTAACTGCAGAATTACTAACTGCATAACTAACAGCCTAGGTAGTTGAGACAAATCACAAATCGAACCGTACGGTACGAATTTGTTAAAAGATAAGTCAAATACATTTAAATCAAATACGATTTTTTACCATTTCAATTTAATTTAATTCGGTTTGCAATTTTCTATTGAATTAGTTTAATTTTGATATAAATCATCTCGTGAACTATAATAGTGTTATGACAAATATTCCTAATAAAGTTGGGCTTATCATTAAATAGATAATCCACTCGATTTACCACAATTTTAGTAACAAACATATATATGACATTACAAAGGACAATTAAACAAAACTATGTGAGAAATTCTGGTTAGTTGATCTTCAGAATGAAACAAAAAAATATTCTTTTATATGGCTAAAAATTCCATTATGAATTATATACTATTTAATACTAATCTATAGGAAGATTTCAACCTAAAAAAATGAGTTTTAAATTTTCTTTTAATTAATGACAAGTTAAATATTCTTTCTATTATAAAATTATTGTCATAATTGACACTTTTACACAAATTAAAAAATCATAATAAATAAAAAAGAGAATAATATTTTTATCAAATTATCTTTATAAATTATTTATGTAATCAAATTAGTATTAATAATAAGTAAAAAAAATAATAAATAAGAATATTTATGAGAAAATTTAATTTAAAATTAAAAATAAAATTACATTGATAATTTAAAATAACAATATTTTGGAATAAATAATTTTTAAATGTGATAATTATTTTTAAAAATATTAAAAAAAAGGAATAAAATAGCAATTGCGTCGAGTCGATGACACAAATAGCTAAAATTAAAGAATATTCATTTTATAAAATTAAAATTTATTTATTTTTAAATCAATTTAAAAGGAAGTTAATTAATATAGCAAGAAACATGGTATTAACCCAAAAAGAATACATAATTAACACAATATGAAAACTGTTTATTGCTTTGGGCTGGTACAGTCGTTGTTTATTTGCTTAGTTGATAAGCTGTTTCCTTTTTTTTCCTGATGTAAACTGCGTTTTGATGACAGCAAGTGGGTGGGTATTGGTTGTGAGGCTGCTGGCTATGTATTTTGGTGATAGAATGAATGTATTTTGAGGTGGAAGTGTTGTAGCCATAATTCTGTAACAGAATTTCTTGTACTGGTTGAATCCTAGCATGTCGTATGTTAGTGATTATATAAAAAAAAATACAATATGAAAAAAGTATTCAACGCAAATAGCAAGAGAAAGCCATTGGTACGCTCCACCGACAAATCTCGTATTTCATCTTTCATACAAATATTATTGCAACAATCTAATGTAACTTAAAAACAACACTGATAAAATTCAAATTCCTTTCACATACTACTCAATTTCCTTTCCCTTACAAGATAAACTCATAATTAATACTGCGCTTTAGTAAAATAAATAAAAAAATAAAGAAAAAGCCGAGTGAGATCTAGAAAAACAAGTAGAGTTTCAGTCATCTGAATCGCCACCACCGAAGATAGAAAAGCGGTTATACAAAAGCACAAGAATGATGACGAGGAAGAGCGCAACTCCGAAGGGAGATCCACTAACACGGTGGATGGTATCAGGTTCGCCGGTGGAGAAAATAGCTGAGATGAATGAGCCGCGTTCGGATGAGAGGAACTGAATAGTGAGGAGAAGGATGATTGGTAAGAGAAGAAGACCGAGTGGACTTAAGAGCTCTGATATGGCTTCCGTGACGGCTTCACCTTGATCTCCGAGAAGGAAAGGGACGATTACTACTATGGCTATAACGACGGCTAGAAGAATGCCGTGTGGTGCTCCTCCGCCGCCACCGTGCTGTCTTTCTGGAACCATGTTAGGAGTAGAAGGGTTGAAAGTGTATTTGGTATGATGGTGAAATGAAAGGTTGTTTGTTGTGTTGTGTTGTGTTGTTGTCTTTTTCGGAGTTACTGCGGTTTTTAAAATAGTGCTTTGGGGTTGGGGACGCGTAAGGTTCAATTTTCAATTTCAATTTGATTTTTGTTGGTGTGGTTTGGGTTGTGCTGGGAAATGGGAGTAAAATAGTCGGATAGCATGCCATCATGTGCGTGGGGAAAAGGCAACGAAGGTGGGGAAAAATAATTAAAGACATGGAAATAAAATTGTTTGGGTTACTTTGCTTGCATAATGTGGGGACTTATTTTGATTTTTTAAAAGGAAATGACTAATATACCCGTGTATTTTTTATCGACATTATAAAAATAATTTTGACTTTATTTATATAAAAAAAACTCCATATTCAAGGTCTAAAAACACTTGTCAAGCACAAGAATAATCGTTTTAGGTATTTGAGATTTTGTCACTTGAATTTTATGTCACTCAATTAATTGATTACTCAATATATGATAATTGTTCTACTAAGTCTTGAGATGTCCGACAAACTATGTGAAGGTTGCCTAGTAGTAGTACAGAAGTAATCCATAAAGTCTTTTGTTTTGACAATGCCAATAAGGTCCTCCTACATATTAGAAGTAGTAAATTCAGATGTATGTGGCTCATTTGAGGATCATACCATTAGTGGAAACAAGTATTTTGTCTCATTTATCGATAAGTATAGTCGAAAGTTTTGGATCTATGTGATCAAGCACAAAGACGAAGTATTTGCAATTTTTAAGAGAATAAAAATACTTGTCGAAAACCATAGTGAATAAAGATCAAGGTTTGTTGTACCCTAAAATTTGTCCTCTTGATTTTAATCCTAATTGACTTATTGTTTCACATTCATATGCATTTATCCATTAGGTCATTTGTTTCATAATCATGCATAGCTTCCTTGTTCAAAGGAAAGGAATTATCCCTCAAGATAGTAAAGATTGATTCATCATCATCTTAACCATCAAGGCATAAGGACCATTATCTTCTTCAAGTTGGTTTAAGTGTTAGGGTTTCATCATTGGTTATCATAAAATTGAGATGAATTAGGGCATTGATCCTATCCAACACTTCAAGACATTGTTGGTTGGATCTAAGGTTCCCAAACACCTCAAGTCCTCCATTGTCCAAGTTTCTTGATCATCAAGACATTGAAGATTAGGGTTTTGGCATCATCAGATGAAAATAAGGATTTAGGGTTTCTAAATTGGGGCTTCAAGGTGTATCATTCTTAAGGATCATCAAGATCATCATTCCATGGACTTCAAAATGATTCAACATACTCAACATTGATCCAAGATACTAGGGTTTCATTGGTTTTAAAGGTACTTGATTCAATTGAAAAAGTAAACACAAATGCCTAAAAGTCAAACTTTGACTTTAGGGTTTGTTGGTTAACCAGGGTCATGACATAGTCAAATTCTAAGAAAATAAGGAAGGTCGATGGATTTGATCAAGAGGAATCATGAAAATCAAGAAAACTTTGAAAATTCTCATTTTGAAGAAGTTGAAATTTTTTCTAAGTGTCAAAAAATCATGATCATTTAGTCCACTTTCCAAGGTTATAACTTCTTCTTCAAGTCTTCAAAATTTACAAACAAGGGTTGCAATTAAAGATAATGGGTGATACTGCATCATATTGGAGGATTTGAATCCAAAAGCATGGCTAAAGTGGTTAAAATTTGATGATAAAGTGGGGTACCCAAATTGTGAAAATTGCCAAAACACTTAAAAAAAATTCTAAGTATCAAACAGTCTCAACATTGATGTTTGATGGCCAGTTTTCTCCATGATCCAAGATGATTCCATGCAAGTGTTCAATATCAAATTTGGAGTTCATGGTCCCATCTTTTCATTGATACCATGGGCAAAAGTTTTGGTTGCTTGAGCATGAAGTTATGATTGAGCAAAGTAGACATGGTGAGACTATTTTTAGGTCATGATGGAGGTCCAAACATAGGTCCAAACCATGTCTAAACCAGTCCCAAAACCTTGCTTCATGCATTTACCTTGAACCAATCCATTTTGTTGTAGCATAGCATGCGTTACCTCTGCACACAAGACTCCAAACACAAGCCCCAAACTTTGCCACAATTGAACCAAGAAAAGAGACACCACATAAAGCTTTATTTCAAAAATTACCAAAAAAGATATAATGATAAACCATGGATAAAACTTGCTCACTAAGTGTTACATATTCAGCCTTATTCCAGACCTCAAATGCAACATATCCAACTCTAAAAATCATGCATGAAAATGTCCATCCAAAGCAAATCTGAACCATAGCATAGTGCATGGTTTTAAAATGCGGTTACAATTGCGGCTGCGGATGCGGTTGCGGCCAATGCAATCATTGAGTTGCGCATTGCGGCTGTTACAACGTGAAATAATCTTATACACGCACAAAATATAAAAAGTATTTTAAATTATTATAATTATTTATCTTTTCTTATATTTATATTTTGTATTAGTTTTAATTCACTTTTAGGCTATTAAATCGTATTTATGTATAATTTCAATTGAGTTCTAATAAAACAAACATTACCATACCTGCTACGAAGTCGACTAGTACTTGGGCTTTAAGGGTCTTTCTGCCATCGTACTTGATGTCGAATTCATATATCTCTAACGACCATTTGAGCATCTTGCCCGCCTTGTCTAGATGCCCGAGCAGTTGTTTTACGGATTGGTCTATCCGTATGACGATTGTGTGGGCTAGGAAGTAGTATCTTAATCTCCTTGCTGCATTAATGAGGGCCAGGGAAACTTTTTTGATTTATTGATACCTGAGCTTTGAGCCTTGCAAGGCCTTGCTCGTAAAGTATATGGATTTGTGCCCTTTAGGGGTTTTCAGAATGAGAGCCACTTTTAGTTGCTTCCTTTCCAGGTCGGGAAGACCGGTACCAATCTTTACTCCCTTGCTGGGATCATTGCCGAGGAGGATGATCTCGAACTCCCCGTCTGGAATTGGATGTAGAGGATGGGTGTGCTCTTTGTTGCTTGCTGACGTTGTAACACCCCAATTCTACCCGACAATTATATAAATAAATCAGAGTTATAAAATCATTCATGCAAACGAATCGGGATGTCACAAATTCATCTTTCAAAACTCATTGCATTCATCATGGATACATAACACTTTGAAACTTAGGATGAACCATCAACATAGTAATTTAATCTCTTAAATCAACAATTTAAACATCTACGCAGCGGAATTCTTAATAACATCTTTATCATCGTTACAACAACTTCAAAACAACACATATTTAATAATAATCAACTTATAGTTCAACAACTGAATAATCAACAATAAAAAACAACAAGCGTTCATCCCCCCCCCCCCCCCCCCCCCCCCGAGTCTTACATATTAGATCAATGATACCGACTCGAACTACTGAAGGTATACAGCCTTCACTCTCGATTACCTGCACGTTACCAACATAAGGGTAACATTCAAACAGAAGGGGTGAGATATCTAACAATATAATAAAATGTATGATAATTAATATATTAAATTAGATCACATAATACCACCACTTATCATCTTATAATCAATAATAATCGCACAGAAATACCAACTATAATCCATATTCATCACATCAATTCATAACTTCTTTATGCAATCATATAATGCGACTCAATACTATGCAAATGCATGTGGTACCATTGGAGCAGAACTCCCATCTTAAAAATCTACCAATAAATAGAGGCATCAACAAGGCATAAGCCTTCATCTTAATATTCACCAATACATGCCATCTTAACGAGCATAAGCTCCATCTTGAAATGCAATGTATGTGACACAATCATGAATGTAATGACAACACCATAATTATCAACATCTCAATACAAACATCATCGTTGGCCATAAGCCTACATCTTAATAGTTGTCAATTATTATAGGCATATCAACATCTTTCATCAACATCATACATCAACATCGTAATTCATCAAACATCATATATACATCATATATTCACAACAACTCAGCCACAACAGTAGTACAACAACAATTCATCAATCTCGCAACGTTGGCCATTGCCTACAACATGATATCGCCTATAATTAATTAATCATATAAGGCTTACTTCTAAACTACTAAACCCCTAGATATTACTATTTTATAGTACTACATCATCATCATCATTAATCCAATTGTTGCAACCCAAACAACAATCTATAATCATATCACCTCATCATTCTTCACAAAAATCAGCATAGCGATTAACACGGGAATTAACCCTAGTCCTAATTTGGATACTAGGATTATCCTTCCTATTATTCATTTTAATCCTTAAGAATAAAGCTCGTCGCATTAGCTATTCAACGCTTTGAACGACACCTCAAACGGAGTCCAAAAACTCAAGTTAAAGCCTCTTCAAAACGATTTTGCCAAAAACCAGACAACATGGATCGATGCGTAATGCCTTGGGTCGACGCATACTGGACAGAACACGCCACAAGAGTTGATGCATACCATCTTGTATCGACTCATACCGAGTCTGCAACACTGCATGTATCGATACATGCTCCTACGTGTCGACTCATCCCGAGTCTAAAAGCCCTCATGTATCGACACATGACTCCTTCGTGTTGACTCATACTGAGTCTAACAGCATTCTTGTATTGACACATAACATTTGGGGTCGACACATACTGCTTTGTCATGGATATTTTCTGCGATTTCTCTGCATTTTCACTATGGGTTCCATACTTTAGGCCCTAAAAACATCCTCTAATCATAGAAAATCATCAACTATAATTATCCTATAATTCTACATCATTTATACAGCATCGGGACATCGTTATTCATCTATCAATCATCAATTCTCATCATAAAACAACATATAATTCAATCATGAACAAAACAACACTTTCACATCTAATCCCATAAACCAATCATCATAAATCCTATTATAGAGTCAGAACCCCACCCTTATCTTGGATTGAAGGTTGCTCTATAACTTCCGATTTAATTTCTGTTATGCCTCTTTTCCTCCTTTCCAACAGCTTTCATGTTCTTTCTCTTCTACCAACCCTTATTCTTCTTACTGCTTCTTCTTTTCTATTATTTCTAAAATAATAAAATAACCTTATTATTCGCTTTATTACTTAATGGGCTTAAGACTACTACACCCCCTTATTACTACTTCTATCCTTTAAAACAAGCCCACATCAAATAATATTATCGTTCTCATAATATTATTCCACCACTTAATAAAATAATTAAATCCAACTAATCACAACACATCAATT